TATATATATATATATGTGTGTGTGTGAGTTTTGAATGAAGAAGAAGAAGAGGTGTCAGAAGGACTCACATGCGGACCCTCACCGATGAGCAGAGACAGCGGAAATGATGCAACTGACGGAAACACCGAGCTACGCCGGACTCACGCGAGCGTCACCTTTCATAATAAAAGCCCCAGACGTGTAATCTTTAGGGAATGTTTCGTCAGATTTTAGTTTTTAAATAAAACTTTTTTAAAAATCAGATTAAATCCCTGACAATCACTGAAATTATCCAAATTAAATATAATAATTAAATATAAATATTATAAATAATTTTACCGTCAACGGTCCGTCTCACGTCTATTTACATTGAATTGCGATTTATTTTATTTTTTTATTATTTTTTTTAATATATGAACATGAAAATAGGACAGGGTTCTCACTCTGTGATTTTATTTCTTCACTATTACAATTCATGGGGAGATGACAAAAAAGTCACATTTTTTAAACATATAGAAGCAGAAAAATAAGTCATCAGTGTCTGTAAAATAAGCACATCTGGCAATTTGGCTTCAATGAAGGGTTGCAGAAATGAGCACATCCGTGATTAAATTCAACAAACTTGTGTATGTCCTCCATAACTTTAATGATATTGCCCTGGCCCTTCTTGACATTGAGTTGATGAGATCTGTGCTGTTTAACTCCTGAGCTTCCTGATGCTGCACAGGGAATGCTGCTGGGAATGCTGCTGGACTTGTTTCAGGACTTGCGTGTCAATGTGCTCTTTCATCCCTCTCCAAGAACCTCTTTTTCTCTGATTAATATGATATGATTCTTTGGTAACTGAGCTGCTAAGTTTGCTGGAATACAATATCTGCAAGGAGCCCTAATAAACCAGCATACTGTATTTTGTAGATAAGCTTTTAAGGGTTTGCTTCTCTAGTGAACATAAACAAGTATTGCAGCTGCGGATCAGCCGTGCTTGCGGTTTACAGGCCATTCATCTTTCAGTTCCAGTAATTAGGACACTTTCCTGACTCCAGGGTTCATGATCTTTTTGTTAATACAAATAGTTACACACAAGAAATGAGCTGAAATTTAAAAAGCAGCAAACGAAATGATAATTTCAATGCAAACTAAAAACTCTTGTTAGAAAAACGCTGATACATAATATTTGATTTATTGCATAACACGATTAATGTGCACATCACAGCGTTGAAGAGAGTAATCATTTTTGTATTTGTTTCCATTGTTGTTTTTAAAAGTATATTTTTGACTCTTTTAAAAATTGAAGTAAAAAAAAAAAAAGTAATATTATTATTAATCTTCGTTGTGAATTAATATTAATATTTTCTTTGTAAATTATGAAACGTAAGCTAACCGAGACTTGTTATAGCACTTGTGTATCATTGCTCTTTTGCTGATTTTGTAAATCCTCATTAAATGTAAAAAATGTAATAAAATAGCACAAAAAAAATACGTGTACAATGTAGATGCATGCAAAATCTTTACAGGTCAATATATTTTTTTATTAACAAGATCAAAATACAACAATATGACAAACACTACACATGAAATAATCAATTTCACACTAGAGGGGCTGTGTACAAATACAAGTGTATATAAAAATATTAAAGCGTTCACAAACCTTCACCGTTTGAATTGCTTTCTGTTCGTATAGAAGATCGTATAGTATCCTCCGTTTCCTTCCTAAAAGAAAAAAAACTATTTTTTTTGCATGAGAACTTACATCTGTGAATATGAAATTTTGCATGTAATAAAATAAGATTTATCATGTAAACCTGACTGTGCTTTTCTCTGCTGTTCTCCAGTGTACCAAATAATACATCTTTCCATAACAATACAAAATGATTATCAATATTTTGTACAATAAAATTACATACATTCTGCCCAAACAAATGTACCACAGTTTCAGGGCAAAGGACACAAAAGGAGCAACTGAAATCAATATCAGATTTAAATTTGACCAAATAATATTTGGCTGGGTAAATCCTGTGAATCATTCTGAATGATATTTCCTTAACCTTGTTTGTAATTAAATATTGATTAGGTATTAACCAAACCTTTTTCCAAACAATATTGTCTGTCAGGCGATTCCAGTATGAAGAAGCATAAGGCAAAGACACAACGTCTCGTTGAAACAAAGCTCTTACGGGACTGCTGTGTGATTTAAGAGAGAAACAGATAAGAGCGTATTATATCAGGCAGAGACCACTGTAGGATGTTCATTCCTGTCTGATGTCTAAATAGCATACAAACTTCAGGAGAAACAGCCCCAGAAGCTTTGGCATAGTCCCCTGGTGTAACAGGAATCTTATAATGTGCCAAAACTCACCGTAAGTACAAAGAAAACCATTACAATTAAATAACTGGTCCACCAATAGGATGCCTTTATCAAAGCAGTGTTTTAGATCAAGCGATTTGTGTTTATATAATATATCCATATTGTTACATACATGCGCTTGTGTATCAAAGACCATGACAAAAAGGCCTGACGGTGAAATTCAGCTAGTTTTCCTGGTATTTTATCAATATTATAATTACAGCTAAGAAAAAACATTGATACCACCAAATTGTGATTTGTGAAAACACCAAACGGAATTAGGATTTGTAACAATTTGTTTAAGCCAATGAACCTTACATGTATTATTTAATGTAGCAAAACATTTAAGCCACCATTTTCATACGAATTCATAATAACTTGTCTTCTTTATGTAATGTATTTTATTTTTCCAAATGAAGTCAATCAATATTTTGTCCATTTCTTTACATAGTTTTTTATCCAGATGTAAAGCCATCGCTGCATAAATAAGTCTATTAAAACTTGCAATTAAAACTCGACCCCTTAAAGAGAGGCCTCTTGTTAGCCAATGATTGAACTTTTTCTTTCTTTTTTCAATAATAGGACTCAAATTTAGCAAGCACCTCCTTTTCTGGTCTTTGGTTATCAATATTCCAAGATATTGAACCTCATTCTTTAAGGGAACACCATCATGGCTAGTTTCGAGACATTCCTTTATGGCCATAAGCTCACGTTTAGTCAAATTTAAGCAGATGCTCTTGAAAATTCGCCAATTAGATCGACTGCCACAGATATCTGATTCTCATTTTGAATAAAAAGTGTAGTGTCATCTGCTAATTGTGTAATTTTGATCTCTCTATCAGCAACAGTGATACCTCTCAGTGGGCTTGATTTAATATGAGAGGAAAGATGCTGACTTACTAACAAAAAGAGGTATGGAGATACTGGGCACCCCTGCCTAATTCCTTTAGAAATATACATCTAGGGGAATACCATTAAATAGCTTTTATAGAACAGTTGCCATTTTGGTAAAGAGTTTCGATTGCTGTAGAAAACAAATGACCCAAAATCTAATTTCTATTAAAGGATAAACTGATGTTCTATAGAATCAAATGCTTTGCAAAAGTCTAAAAATAATATAAAGCCATTATCATTACTCAGATCTGAATAATCCAAAATGTCCAAAACGAATCGTATATTATTTGTTATGTGCCGATTTTTCATGAATCCTGATTGTGATTCATCGATTACTGAATCCAAAATAGTTTT